CTGCGGCTGCTGGCTGGCGACTCACAGCAGCCCAGCTCCAGGTTGAGCCGTTGTTCAGCATCTTAGCTGTAGAGGGCAGTGTCACTGGCCCTCATGTGTGGGATCCGAACCGGGGCCCTCTGGCATCCCAAGTGAGTTCTTAACCATCGCGCCACTCGGCCGGCCCTGTCTATAGCTTTTGACAGTTTGATTATGTGTGTCTCAATGTGGATCTCTTTGGGTTTATCCTAGTTGGAATGTGTTGAGTTAGAACTTTTATGTCCATTTCTCTCCTCAGATTGGGAATTTTTCAGCCATTATTTCTTCGGGTAAGGTCTCTCTGCCCCTTTCTTTCTATTCTTCTGGGACTCTCATAATGTGTATATTGGTCAGCTTGCTAGTGTCCCATAAGTCCCTTAGGCTCTCTTCAATTTTTTTCACTCATTTTTCTTTTTTCTCTTCTAACTTGATGAGTTCAAATGACTTGCCATCAAGTTTGCTCCTTCTCTCTTCTGCCTGACGAAGTCTACTGTTGAAACTCTACTGAACTTTTTCAGTGCAGTTATATTTTCAGCTCCAGAATTTTAGTTTTTTTAAAGTCTCTATCTCTGTATTGATATTCTCATTTTGCTTATTCTTTGTTTTCCTGATTTTGTTTACTGGTCTGTGTTTCTTTTAGCTTATTGAGCATCTCTATGACAAGTATTTTAAATTCTTTGTCCAGCAGCTGCTATCTGAATTTTTTCAGGGTCAGTTTTTGGTATTTTACTTTGTTCCTTTGGCTGGGTCATTTTTCCTGTTTCTTTGTATGCCTTGTGATGTTTTGCTGAGACTTGGGCATTTGAGAAAACTGGCTTCTTTATTAACTAGAAAGACCTTCACAGATCAGCCCAGATAGAGACTCTCAAACCTTTTCTGGGGTATATTTTTCTCTGGGTCTGTGTATGTGCATTTACCTCTCTCAAATTCTTTAAGCTGCTTGCCCCTACATTTTCTCAGAAACCAGTAATCTCTCATTCCTCATAGTGTCTCCCTGCACAATTGCAGCTCCAACATGCATTTTCTTACCTCTTTCCAGTGGCTTTCAAATTATGCCACTGGTCCGTGAGAAGTCCAGGTCAGGTGAGACAGAAACCAGTCTCTAGGGCAGACCCCAGATAAGCCAGAACATTGGATGCTCAGTCCATTCTTTTGTTTCTGTCTCAAGGAAGAAACCTGATATGGGAGCTTTCCTCTTGGTTGCACTATGCTGTGCCAGGTAGGGGCAGGGACAAAAATGTGTGTGCAGAATTCTGTGAATTTTCCTACCCATTTTGTTTGCATCCCTTCCTACTTTTATGGTATCTGGGTTGCTGTAGTTTCTCATCTTGTCTTTAGAGTTCTCACAAAGATATTCTGGTCCATATATTTTTTCTGAGGGTCAGGACTGTACTGAGATATGGATGGTAATTGAAGCACATGAAGTAAATGAGAATACGTAGAATGAGAAGCAGGCCTCATAAAGACTCTCAAGAATACCAACATTGAAGAGGTAGATAAAAGGAAAGTGAGAGGGAACATCTAAAATGGTAGAATGAAAACCAGGAAAATTTTGTATCATAAAAGCCAAGAAAAAAGTGCTAAAACAATTGAGACACTTATATAGCAGCTATTGTAAGGACTTTTACATGTATTGTTAAAAATTAATCCTTGCAAAAATCGTATAAGTTTGGTACTATTTTTATCTTCATTTTATAGATGAGGGAAGTGAGGTATAGAGGTCATGCAGCTAGTGATATATACAAGTATGTTCATTGCAAGTATGTTCATTACTTGTAATATAAAAAATTCAGAGATGACCTAACATCTATCAATTGGAGATTGGTTACATTGTGGTTCATGGAATATAGTGAAGCAACTAAAAGAAAAAGGTAGGTCTTTATGTTTTGAAATGAAAGGATTCCATAATATACTGTTGAGTGTAAAAAAGTTGGTTGCAATGTGTATGGTTTTTTATGAATTTAATTTTTTTAAACTATATTTGTTTTGCTTGTATGTATTAACCAGTGTGTGCATAGCAAAGTGGAGACATATACATGAAATTGTTTACTGGATATTTCTGGTAATAGAGCAGCAATTTTCATTTTTAATTAATATATTTATTAATATATTTAGCACAACATAAAAACCTTATTTAAAGAAGATTCAATTGGCCAAGGAAATCTGGAGAAATTAAGTGAGTGTATTTGTTTTATTTATGTGTATATTAAAAAGTAGTTAGTTTTAGTAAGGGATTTAACAATATTAAGTGATTGTTTTCTCTGAGATCAGATTCAGGGTATTTTAGGGACTACAGCTCAGATTTCAGTTGGTTGAGGAATGAGAAGGAGAGAAGGTAATAATTAACTGAGACATTTTATTTTAAAAAAGTGTAACTCCTAATGCTTTCTAACTCCATATCAAAATTAAAAGTTTTTTTTTCTTTTTTTTAATTATAGGACAATAGAGTTCACATTGGACCAAAAATGGAAATTCGAGTTGTTACATTAGGATTAGATGGGGCTGGAAAAACTACTATTTTGTTTAAGTTAAAACAGGATGAGTTTATGCAGCCTATTCCAACAATTGGTAAGTATGAGTATTGCTTTTTAACTTAATAGACATTTTATAGAGAAAACCTAGCTTACAGCTGAGTTCTTCAGGTCTTGTTTTATGCCGGTTTGGGATGGAGATGGGCTTTTTTCTGGCTCCAAGACACAAGCAGTTCAGAGGAAAAATGACAGATTCAGTGGCTGTGGGGTTGAAATGTGGATGGTGGGATAGTAAGAAGGAACAGAGTATTAGTGGGACAGTTGGAAGGAATAAAGATTGGTGACCCTGGCTGAGGGTTATGGGTGAGGGGGTAGCCGTAGGGCAGAGTTGGCAGGTACCTGGGTTTCTAGGTCCTAAGGACCCTGGCAGAGCTTTAGAGGGCTAACAGCTAAGAAGGTATACACTGCCTGTGTAGGTTTATTGGAAGTGGAGTTGTTTGGGCAGCAGTACCCTTGATACTGCTGTATGAAGATAATTTGTGAGTGACAACTATAAACAGGAGGTTGCCTTGTGTTTGGTGTGTCATTCACTATAAATATAAGTTCAGTATTAAAGTAACTTTTTTTCTTAAACAACAGGTTTTAATGTGGAAACTGTAGAATATAAAAATCTAAAGTTCACTATTTGGGATGTAGGTGGAAAACACAAATTAAGACCATTGTGGAAACATTATTACCTCAATACCCAAGGTAAGAGCGAAAAATGACATTAAGTTCTCAGAATTTTAGGATTTAACTAGTAAAGCTGATTAAGCATTGATTAAATACTGACTATACCTTTAAATATTGATGGCCAGCCCCACATAACTAGAAAAATGAAATGGAAAGACTGGGATATGTACTTTTGTACCATAATTACAGCATAAAAACAATGCGTAGCTTATATATGTGGGCAGTTTACAGTACTTCTTGCTGCTCTTAACAGTTAATTATTAATGTTCATGTGATTATGATCACTGGCAACATTGTGGAGTATCGTACTATTTGTGGTATATGGGCCTGCTCAATTCAGTTCAACATTTATCCCATTATAATATCTCAATAACTACATTTCCATTCATAATTGTTATCTGTGGAAGAACCTACAGTGGTTTTCATGAGGAATGGTTGAAAGTCTGGGGATGTTTAGCTACCATAAAATAACTGGAAAGATTTCAAAAAAGTATTCATTCAGCAGATATTTATGATGTTTCTGCTGTGTATTTTGAGTACAATCTATGTGGAAAGTGCTGTCGTAGGCACCTAGAGAGAGTGCTTTGGAGAGCTAAAGATGCTGGTTTATTTTTAATGGACTATCTTTTGGTAAAAGAAGTAATCAATGAACAAGTAGCATCAGTAGGTAGATCACGAGAAATACATTTTCATTAAGAGAAAATATTGACATACACAGCAACTTGTTTGGTAGAGCAAGTGTTATAAACCCTGATATAGATGGGGAAATGAAAGCTGAAAAGTCATGTTAACTACTTCAGATCATACCATTAATTATTGGTAGGTGATCCTAGAAGAATAAGCAGCCTTTCTGTGAAAAGTGATGGTAGACTAACTACCCATAATGTAATAATGAGAGCATTAAAATATTTGGTCCATTTACTGAAGCTAACAGGTGACTAATTGAATATTTTTATCATTTTTTTGGTAGCTGTTGTATTTGTTGTTGATAGCAGTCATAGAGACAGAATTAGTGAAGCACACAGTGAACTTGCGAAGTTGTTAACAGAAAAGGAACTCCGAGATGCTTTGCTCCTGATTTTTGCTAACAAACAGGTAACCTATCTATATTTCAGAATACTTACTTTAGTAGTTTTGGGCATTCCACATCATAATGTAGGTGGAATGATTTCAGGGGGAATAATTAGTAGCTATTAATGAAGTTTCTGCTGTGTCTTGAGTATAATCTATGTGGATAGTGCTGTGCTTGGTACCTTGGAGTATACAAAAAGAAATGAAGTAGTCCATGTTCACCAGAAACTTCCATGTATGTATGTACAAGTAAATGTGTAAGTGAATCTATATGAGGTTCTAATACAAAAAATTGGTAAGTAACTTCAATAATATTAACAAAATGGTATGGGAAATTAGAGAGCAGTTCTAAAGGTGACATGTTGTAAGATTTGTAAAAAATAGGATTAGAGTTGAAATTATGGTAAGTTGGAATTACGGATAAGACTTTGAGTCAGTATGTGAAGGAAAGAACATTGCAGGCAGAGATAATTAAAATATATATATAGTATATAATATATACATACACACACACACACACACACTGTGGGTGCAAAAAAATGTATACACGTATTAAGAGATGTTATCTATGTATTACTTTTCAAAGTTGAATTATGGTAGCAATGTGTAGTATGACGTTGGCTCAAAAGATGTTGTTCATCAAATGGATGCTAGCATCACCATGTGACAGGCAGGACAGTCAAAGGAAATGGCAGAAGCACGGTTGTCGTTCGAAGAGTGCAAGACCATTTTTAAGTGTTATTTGAAATTCGAGAACATTGTGGAAATACGACAATGGAGGCATGAATATGCAACAGAACCGCCAACACACCTAACAATTGCATGCATTTGTGATAAGTTTGAGATGCATGGAACTGTCTGATGTGCACAAGGGAAGATCCAGGATGCCTCGCACAGTAACAAGTCCTGCTTCTTCTGCTATGGTGTTCAAACAGTTCACATGCTTGCCACAGAAATCTACCAAACACTGTTCACCGTAATCAGGTGTCTGGGTGCTGATGGTAACCACTTTGAGCATCTCTTGTAATTGCAGAAGTCAAACGTGACTTGTATTCATCTTTTGTTATCGGTATAAATTGAATATTGCAATTTTAATAGTTTTTCCCTTTCTTAAAATGTGTATAATTTTTTTGGAACCCTCTGTATGTAGGTATATGTATATGTATGTAATAGCACCTAAACACAGAACTTCAATCTAAATATTCAGTATAGAACTGAAGAAAAAATTATGTTGCACCTACACAATTCAGATGTTAAAAACAATATGGAAAATCTGTTTGTCTTGGTAATGGAAAGATACCTATCTCCAAGAAATTTTCTGGAAAAATATGAAATTATTTCTGGGAAGTGGGAGTTTTTGGAATAGGTTAATAAACTATTCATTATATAAACCCTACATGTAAGCCATTTTTCAAGATATACATGTTAATTTTTCTTTTAAATTGATGCCTTATAATGACTCAGGCAGTATCATTCAGGCTGCATGGCCTTTATTGATTTCATTGTAAGGCTATTCTTATCAACTATATATATTATAAATAAGTAAATTATTTAACCAAAACTTTAATATTTTTTTTTATATTAAGCTCAGAATAATTACTGAAAGGTGAATCTAATTTTTAACTTTAGGCTTCTGTTAGAATGGTACCAACAGAATTGTATATAAATAGTAATAATTAGAAAAATGATAATGTTGGTAGACTGATTGAAAAAAATTCTGATGTGTATGTATATTTCAGGATGTTGCGGGAGCTCTGTCAGTAGAAGAAATCACCGAACTTCTCAGTCTTCATAAACTGTGCTGTGGTCGGAGCTGGTATATCCAGGGCTGTGACGCTCGAAGTGGTACGGGGCTGTACGAAGGCTTGGATTGGCTCTCACGCCAGCTCGTGGCTGCTGGAGTATTGGATGTTGCTTGATCTTAAATGCAGCAGTCGTTTCAAGTTTTGTGGTTAAGAGTTTTTTTGCACATAATATGCTGTAAGAAACTCGACATCTCAATGATAGTTCATTTAGGGTTACGTATATAAAAGGAATCTTGGATTGGGAATTCAGTACAATATCGCTTTAAAAATTATGCTGTAGTGAAATTTAAATTCTGATTGAGCACATTAAATTGGATGAAATAGGGATTTGAGTATACATTTTTTAAATGTACATTTATTTAAGTTTTTCAGATTATATGTGACCCATATATTGGGAAGTAGTTACAGAAAAAGGATAAGTGAAGGTTTATTCTTACAGTCAACTTGAGTGCCTAATGGAACCTGTGTGTGAAGCAAGTGAAGCATAGCTTCGTCTTGAACTTGCCTTTTCACTGAATTCTGGCAGTATTTAGTAGCAAAAACGGCAATTAATGAAATAGAATCCACAAACTGCAGCTTTGGGTAATAGAATTACTTTTATCTTTAGTATAACAGAATACTTTTAATGCTAAGACTATAAGCTATAGAAAATTAATTTTATACAATGTTTTATTAAAACTCTCTCCTAAAGCTTTTTGTATAAAACCCAGTGAGTCAGAATGAAATATTATCTAACTATGCCTGATTGACAGATTTGTACTAAACTGAAGGACAGTTAATAAAACTGTGAAAGTTATGTTCTAGTTATTCTTCACTTATGAAAGACCCATTTCTGGGCCTGAACCTGGATATATTTCCTACAGAGCTCTAACTTGGTCCTTCTATTTTTTTCCAACATATTTAAAGTACTTAGTAGTGTTTCTTTTTAAAATATTGCATCCTTAGTGAGAATGACTGTATGTGAAATATAGTAAGTTACACATAGAACCAGGGTTGGCTTTACATAAAAGAGAGATCAAAGTATAAAACTACATTTACCTTAAGAAAAATCATTTAAACAGTAGAGAATGCATACTACATCAATTACTTTAAAATGCTTTCCCCAAATAAATGCATTTATATTGACAATAAAACAAGATTAAGGCTCTTTGTGACAAGGTCTTGAAAAGTTATTTAAGAGAAATAATACATCTAAGGAAGGAAAAGAAACTTTCAAAAAGTTTACATCACTTTTATTATGCAGTGTTGTACAAGTTAAAAAATTTTGTGCTCTTTACTGTTTTTCATTTTTGAAGATACTCCCTTATTATGGCAGTACAATTTATTATATTTAAACATAGCTAGATTGGGTTTTATGAAATTTTTTAATACTTTTTATATTTTAGGATGAATCCTAAATCTTAGTTGAAATACTATGTGGACATTGATGTGTGATGACAGATGTGACGTTCAGGTGGTACACTTTTGGTTTAGTCTCTTCAAATGTATTTTTGTTTAAAAACAAAACTTTTAGAAAACAAAGCATTAAAAAAAAAAGGTCGTTATGGGCCATGTGTAAATAAGTAAATATAATTATGTCGTCCCTTTATTTTTCAAGTAAAAGGTCATGCTGTTTCAAGTATACTTTGTGAGTATAAGTAATACTTTTGAATTAAATTATTTAATATTTGATTGATTGCAATAACTGTGAAAAATAAAAATGGTGTTACATTTGCCTGTGAACCCTTGAACTGTTTACTAGGTCTAACACTAACATGTAAACTTACTTTCCTTGTAAATTATTAAGTTTACTTCACCAACTTTGTAATGCACCTTCTTAGCATATTACTAAACACAATTTAAAAGCTGTGCTTCGACCTAATTGTAATGTATATAATAGTAGTGTTTGTGTGTGATTTTTTTTTTTTTTAAGAAACATTTTTCTCAGGCTCTTACTATTTGTGGTTGTATTCTTTCGCTAATTATGATTGTGCTAGTTCCCTCTGGGAAACATCAAATTTAAGAATGAGAGAGACATTTTAAATATAATGTTAGGATTTGCTTCCTAGCTCTGAATTTCTGTATTAAGCCTAAATATTAATGTATGATTTATATAAAGCAGGTTTTTCAAGTGTATAGCCCTGGTCTGTAATTCTGGAATGCTTTATAATCACCAGAAGCCACTATTTGCATTACACATATGATCAGCACAGACAGCAATAAAATGTTGAAATCATTTTAAAGAAGTCCTATGATTATTCTAAAAATTCTTTTTCTTGAACCATCTATCTAGTAGTAGTGCTAGTAGCCATTTTCAAGTCATATTTGTGCTATGGTTAAGAGAAACTATAAACAAAATAGAATAGGGACTCACGTATCAAATTTGAGATACTTAAGATTTAGAAATACCTTATTCTGTATTTGCAATGTAAGTAACATTTAAATGAGTATTATAACTAGTCTTTTGAAGAGCTAAAATTTTGCATTGAGCAAAGAGTAACTCGTGCTTTTTAAATTTAACCTTGTTTCATTTGAGAACATAGCATTTTAAATAACCATTTTAGAAAATGGCTTGAAAACTTAGCTGTAGCCTGTAAACTAGTATTGCTAAGAGAAAGACTTTTATGTAACATTGGGATACTTCTCAATTTGCAAAATAGTAATAGGGAAGAAGATAGTGTTACTTTTCCCCTAAATGAATCAGTGAAAAGGACTAATGAATAAGCATCAGATGGTATCTTGCTAATTTAAAGCATGCTTTAAAAAAGACATCTGGCAATTTATGTGTTTAGGTCTAACAATTACGTTAAATTTGTGACATGGAATGGAAAAATTATGATTTTCACTCAAAGCAAAATAATATTTTGAGGGAATGAGGTGTCACCACCACTTGGTGGCAGTATTACCAAAAATTTAAGCGCTTAGGAATGAATAAATTGCTAGATAAGTCTAAACACCTAAAATTAGGAAGAAAAGGTAAATGTCACAGTGAAAAGTTATTTTATGTCCAACTTTAAGTTTTTTTTAAAAGGATACAATTTTACTTTAAAGTAGCACAATTTTGTATATCCATCTATCACATAGGAGTTTCTGGTACAAAATGAATAAAGGGAATAATCCTGCTGATCAATAGAAGGAAAAGTGTAAGCTGAGATTTAAAGCATAACAATGTGAATTTCCCTGAACAGGTCTGTTGAACATGCTCTTATAAGTGAGTCTGTCTGGAAACCAGAAGCAGCAGCTCTTTTTTTAAGATTTTTATTGGGGAATTGGGGGATGGGAACAGTGCTGGGGAATTGGGGGAAGGGGAACAGACAAGTTGCTGTCGTTTTTGTTCTTAGTCTAGTTGTGGAGGACGTTGCTTCA